TGTGTCTCGAAGCTCTCACTTTTGAGTTCCATTGATGTTCTACATAAGAAGATTGTGTGCGGTTCTTACTAGGAATGAAAGAAAAAAGAGTAGTGTTGGGGTGAGTTCTTAAAAGAGAGCATTACATAAGAGGATTGTGTGCGGTTTTTACTAGGAATGAAAGAAAAAAGAGTAGTGTTGGGGTGAGTTCTTAAAAGAGAGCATTGGTTGTTAAAGGTAATGTGGCAAGTGTTTTACTCTCTAGTACCCCCCCCCCCTACACACACACAAAAAAGTAAAGAAAAGAGAAAAAAGAAAGAAAAGGAAAGTGGAAAGTGGAAAGAAAAAGAATAGAAAAATAGGTAATAAAATGGGGTAAATAAAGTAGAGAGTGTCACAAAAGAATCAAAGAGTTTGCTATAAGTGGGATTTCTTGGCATTCAAGCCATTGAAACCCCCCCTACATTGTTGTTGAGCTCCTTCACTACCAAGTCAAAATGTGATAGCAAGAGTAGACCAAGGAAAAGAGCTTAAAGGTAGTTCATGATGGGTGATAGTTTGAAAGGGAGAATCAAAGTTTTTGGCCGATGCAAAGTTTGGAAGGGAGAGCTTAGTCAAAACCATAGAACATTCGGGTCTAGGGTGAAGATGTAGGACCTCGTTATGTGTTTTACACCACCCAAAAAGCCTTTTCCCAATGTCTAAGACAATTGCCAGTCATTTGAACCCGTGTCTAAGACATCCGGACAAGCTAGTAATGAAAACCGTCCCGTGAACTCTAACATTTAGAGGTTCGTGGTGAAGAGACGATAGGGCCGAGTGTTGATGATTGTGCACATTCTTTGAACCAAAAAGGTCCCGACCCCACTGGTCAAGAGAGTGAGTGATTCATTCTTGCTTTGCATGTCATATCATACCCCGGTGAGGACATTTGTTGCCCATTCGTTTTTTCCTTGGACTTGAATGTTATGCATGGTTAGTTGTGGTTGATAATTGATCTTATTGAGACTTGCATTGATTCATGACAAGGTGAGAACTTTACATTTACCCGTTTTTGGAGACCTCGAATGTCGTTTGTGGTGGATGTCGGTATTGCTTGCAACAGTCCATGTGTTAATTGTCAATAGCCATTGAGATTTGCCACTTTGCCCCCTTTGATTTTCCCCCAAAGCATTTTGTTAGGTTGAGATATTACCTTGTGTGAAATGGTTTGCTTGGGGATAGGCAAACGTCTAAGTGCGGGGGAGTGATTCGGGCCTAATTGTACACTTTTTATCCTCGTTGCTCTTTAACGTTTGTGGCAATTGAAATCCAAAAGGAGTGGTTTTACGCTAGGTTTCTTGTATTTAGTGTGTTTCAGAGTCTAACAAGTGAAACCAACCCCAGAGTCGAAAGTTGGAAGAAAAGGAGCAAAGACCGGGCAAAGAGGAGGAATCAGCCTGTGTTCACGGTCCAACATGGGAGTTCACGATCGCAAGGAATGTGAACTGGAACCACAAACCGTGAACCAAGAAGTGTCCAGAGGGGTTTCTGAGGTTATTGACGCCAAGGCTGTTCACGGTCGTTAAGATCGTGAACTGCAACCACAAACAGTGAACCCAAGAAGTGAAACGGTGCGTTTTGGTTCAACTCTCTGTGTTCGAGGACACGTTTTGATGTTCACACCTGTGAACTTGGGTCGTGAACTGGGCACGATATCAATATAAAGAGCTAGCTGAAAGGAGGAAGAAGGGGAGAGACCTAGTGTGAGAAACTTCTTCTTCAGATTTCTAGATTGAGAAAGTGACAAACCAAAGAAGAGAAGTTAAGGTTTCATCTCCAAGCAAGGAATTGGGAATTCCTCCCCCCAATGAGGATCTCTTCAACAAAAGGAGCAAGGCTAGCATCTTTTTGATGGTTTTCCTTCTTCTCTCTTGTGTTTTCCCTTCTCCTAGCATGGAGTAGTCCCTTCTTTCACTTGGGTGTTTGTAAACCCTAGCTACAATTATGTGAATCCTTGTATGAATTGAATGATTTCTGTGTGGTTGTGCTTAATGTGAATGTGGAGGTATTATTCATTAATGATTGTGTTGCGTGAAAGGTTATCAATCTAATTGCCATTCTAACCTAGATAGAGAGAAAACCCCCTTCCTTTTTTGAAAGAGGCTTGAATGCTAGGTTTTCTTGGGCAATTCATTGTCTCCTAGTTAGGTTAACACAGGGCAAACCTCCTATTTTGTATTAGTGCCTAGGGTGTGGTCATGGGTGGCCTTCCGAACTCCAATTCGAGGGTGAAGTCTAACCAATCCTTAGTCAATAGGTTGAGAGAGACTCATTTGTGGCTTGGATTGTATCCATTTCCTCGACCTAGAGACTAAGAGGGTATATTTAGCTACTTGTTAGACTTCCATGTGGTTTACAACCCCCTCACCACACACGGCCATTCGATCCATTAAGTCATAATTACTAGTTAGGGGGAGCAACCCCCGGGTGAATCCTTCTCAATTAGTGTCAAAACCATTACTCTTTGCAAAGTACTTTAGCTTTAGATCTTTGTTTTCACCAAAGCTATCCGCTAGATAATGTTTCAAACAATCAAAGTATCGGTACATGGACCGGCCCAGGTTGATATTGAAACATACTTGCCATATATTGCACCCATCTAAGGTTTATACTTGGGCCTTAGGTGAGATTTTATTGTGATAGTCAGAGCGAGTCAACTATTGTGGGATTGAATATGTCGTGGTTGCTCTAATCGTTGGAGTGGCGGTGGTGGATATTCACGATGAGTTTTTATAGTCAACGAGGATTTGTTTCTTGAAGAGGAGAGTGCAGTTGAAGGTGGGTTGTTCCTCTGCCCTCATCTCCGACCCCTCTCCTACTCCTTTCCCACTCTCTTTGATAAAGAAGCGGCCATCCAAAAACCACCCTAAATCTACAAGTCACTAAACTATAACTAGATGTGAATAATTGGCAGCAATGGTGGAAATGGTGACCGTTGATGAATTCCGCAAGGAACTACGGTGGCGGGTGTAACCACCATCTTGGCGATCAGATCGAATAGCAACTCCCCCAAATTGCTTCGCATCACCAACAGCCAACACAACACAAGACCATTGAAACCTAATTCGGGTCAAATTGTACACATATTACCCCTCATTTCTTGATAGTTTGACTTTGCATTTCATCTTCTCTCTACCTATTTTACTCTAGGTTGTGCTTGTTTTGTTACATTTCAGGTTCTATCATGTGTGGGAAGGTGGAGGATGAGTTCTGGGTCGATTGGAGGTTGAAAAGCGCCAAAAATTGAAGAAAAATCTAAAGTCACGGTTTGGATCCAATTGTCACGGTCGCCAGACCCTGACAATTGCGTCGTGATCGTTAAGCATCGAAGCTCTAGAACAGTTTGCACACCTCGCGGGATCCCAATCAGTTCACGGGCGAAAGATCGTGAACTCCAGCCCTAGACCGTGAAGTGACTTAGTGAAATGGTGCGAATCAACTCGACTTCACGGTCGAGGACGAATGTTCACGGCCGTGAACTGGGACCGTGAACAACCGTCGATCTGGGTATAAAAGGAAAAGTGAGCTGAAGGAGAAAGGAGGAGCTTTTTCTAGGGTTTTAGTTTTCATAATAAAGGAGGGTTTCTAGTGAGAGATTAGGGTTTTCTCTTCATATTCTAGAGAGAGAAAGTGTCATTCAAAGGAGGAAGAAGGAGTTTGGGCTTACCCTATGCTAGAGGAGTGAAGATTCTTACCTCTCAAGGGAGATTCAAGCAAGGAGGAAGGAAGATTGTCATTTCTTCATGGTTCTTTCTCTCCTTTTTCTTGTTTTTCTTTGCCTAGCTATGGAATAGCCTACCTATTCACTTGGGTGTTATGAACCCTAGCTTAAAATATGTGATAGATTGTATTAATTGAATGCTTTGTGTGTGGGTTTGTGTTTAATGCAAAGTTTGAGGTATTTTCATGATGTTTGGGTTGTGTTCTTCATTTCTCATTTCTATGCCAATTTGACCTAGGTAGAGAGAAACCTCATTTTTGTTAGGAGGCTTCGATAAGCTAGATTCCCTAGCCAATTGAGCCACCTACCTAGGGTGAATTAGGGAAAACCTCAATATTCTATTTAGCACTTTAACTTGGGTGTTATTTTGCAGTCCGGATTAAGTTTGATGGATTGGTTCTTGCAACCCTTAGTTGATCGGTTAAGAGAGCTAGGACTCCTAGCTTATTGTTGCAATCCTTAGCCTAAAGGTTAAGAGAGCTAGACTTCATAGTTTATTGTAGCAATTCTTAATCCATTGATTGAGAGAGCTAGGATTTCTAGCTTAGTTGTTTTCCTTGACCGATTAATTAAGATAGTGAGGTTTCATTCACTTGTTGCGCCCTCTTAACGGTGTATGAACACACCTTCACACATTTGCATTCGATTTAGTTAATTTTGATATGTAGCTAGGGGGAGCAATACCCGGGTGAGTTCTTCTCTCATTGGGAAACCTCGATTTTATTTAATTGTTTGTTTATTTTGTAGCTTGCTTAGTTTTTAAACCCCAAAACTGTTTGCTATATAACAACTTAAGCGATTGAAGTAGGGGTACATGGACCGTCCCGGGTTTGACAATTAAAACATAATTGCCCTATATTTCACCTCGCTAGAGTTTGTAGTTGGGCTCTAGATGGGATTTAACTCGCGGTGTATCCATTGCGAGTCAAGTTTTTGGTGCCGTTGTCGAGGAACAACGGACCATTATTTTGAAAAAGTCGCTTAGTGTTACTCTATCATTTTCTATCTTGTATTTTGTTTAGTGTTTTGTTTTCTCGTTTTCTGTTTGTTCACCCACTCTTCATCGTTAAGGGTGGTTTGTGTTTGTTTGATTTTGTTTTTATGTTTTTGTTGTTTGTAGGTTTTGAATCATGGAACCTTATGATTTCACTCAAGTGTGGGGATATCCACCACCACCCGAGAGTGGATACCCCAGAGCTTCATTGGACAATCAAAATCGGGGAATTCAAGGGTCCAGGTTTTATTGCCAATTGACACGCTATGACACAACTCCTAACAAAGGCCAAGTGTAACCAATGAAAGGGACTGCAGTATAGTGGCTCAAGTAATAAATATCGAATCCACGGGTCTCTAGAGTTACTATTACTCAACTTCAGTTCATTATCTAGCAAACCAGATTAAGATGGAAGAACTAAAACTACTATAACAAACTACAGTTAAAGTTAATCTAATTACTGGTTGGGAACTCACTTAGGTATGATTCCCCCTATCCACTAGCATGATTAATGATTGATGATCTCTAACCTGTTTCACTTTCATTCACAATGTGGAGAATCCTTGACTAGACCTTGAGTCTCGACTAAAGGAACAAGGCCCTCTTGAGTCAATTGCCTAGAGGGACGTATCCTTCTCTAGAACAACCGATCAAGGTGTTCTGAACTAGATTCCCTCTATTGAAAGAGGTTCTCAATCGATACAAAGCAGTGAATCAACCCTCGACTAAAGCAATCGATCCACTACTATCAATCTATGGTGCTCTATTGACCTAATTAGGTATTCGCTCTCATAGGACCAAAGCAGAATCAATAATCTCAACTAAAGCAGAATTGAATCATGAAAACATGCATAGATTGAGTATGAACTCAAGATTATCAAGTCAAAGTGCTCATACAATCATCCAATCAAACAAACATAGCTAGGGTTCCTCAAAATCTAAGTGAAGGGAAGTTACTCCATAGAGAAGAGAGAGACTGCAGTACGAATCTTTAGATGATCGGTCTTCAAGTCCGGGCTTGTTCCTCGAGCTTCCAAGGCAAAGAAATCCTCCAATTCCACTCTTAGAATGCCCTCAAATCTCCCTCTCTCTCTTTGGTTCGTCCCTTGGGTGTTTGGGATCTAAAACACAGCTCTCCCTTTCCTTTGGCTTCAATCTGCCTCAAAAACCCGACTCTGGGCAAAACACGATCGAGGACACGACCATGTTTTACTTTTTCCCGCCCGTGTTTTTCCCCCAGCAGCCCTCGTCGGCCAAAACACGGTCGTGCCTAAATATGGACACGTCCGTGTTTTTCTTTAGACCAGCCCGTGTTTTTACTGCCGAACATGTTCCCCTATATTTAATGCTTCGTTTCTCCCTCGTCCGGACTCCGAATCAGTCACCGTTTGATCCCAGACGCTCGTAGTCTCGTCCTCTTTATTTTCATGACAATCTTGCATGATTATTTGTCCATAAAGTGAGGTAGAAATCCATTCTTCTTCAGATCATGCCCGAGTTTCTTCTCCCTAATCACCAATTGATCTCTGATTGACTTGAAACTTGCGCCTATGCTTCCCTTTATGTGATAGGACCTAAAATGTGACAAAGGAACACAACCAAGCATAAAATAGACCAAAGATGCGATAATTAAAGCTCAAACAGTCAAGAAACAAAGGGGAAAACATGTGCAAATATCGAGTCATCACCAACTCCTCTTACATGAAGAACAACCATACCAATGGGGGTATCAAGGAGCTTTCTCATTACCAGAAGAATTCCTTGACAACCGGAGCCAAGAAGTGAATTGGAGCTCTTGGTGGAGCGGTTTGCCGGGGGTTCCGAGGGAGCATCCTCTAGTGTAGAATAACCTTGCTACATTCCACAAGAACTGACGTGCCAATTGGAGCTAATGGTGTAACGGTTCACCCAGGATACCGAAGCATGCTCCAATATGGAAACCACCACCCCTATCAACTCCTCATTCCTACAAGCATCAGATGAGCTCCTACGAAACTCGGAGAGGCTAAGAATGATTGTTGAGCAAGCATGTGCACAACTTGCTCACAATCTCTTCTTGCCATTTGAAAAGGAAGATAAAGTCGAGGAGACAATCCATAAGTACGGTGGGGAGCAAGAAGAACTCATCCCGAAGAGCTCCCAAGATGATGTTGAGCAATCAAGTTCTTTGGTGGTAGACCACGTGCTTCCGTCTTCCGCTTCGAGATTTGAAGAGTTGTGTACAAAGGAGGAGATGCAAGAGGATCATATGGAAGAAATGGCTTGGGAACTTGCCCTTCATTGTGTGCTTGGGGAAGAATGGGAAAAGGCGAAAAGGAAGGTTGTATATGAGGAAGTGAACATCGAAGAAGAGGGAGATATTGGTTGTTCCCAAGGGGAGGAAATTTGAAGAAGAAGGAGAAACTGGTGTTAAAGATGAGGACGAGGTCGAGGTGGATGAAGCATCCACAAGTTACAAGTGTTGCCAATGCTTTCTACCCGGCCATGATGCGCTTCTCGAGAATTACCCATTTGCGGCTCTTTGTCAAGACAACGCCAAACCACCGGCGATCCCTCTTGACGGATGCGATGGAAGTCAATCGATGATGGACTACATGGTGTTGGGCAAAGAGAAAGAAGAAGAGGCAAAGAGAAAGAAGAAGAAAAGAAGAAGAGGTCTCGTGGGTGGAGAATCAAAGCCGATCAAGTTCACAAACTATGAATCATGGATTCGTCCAATGCTCAATGCTTGAGAATTCATCTCACCGACAAGAACCTCAACTTCAAGGAGGTTTTCGGATGTACCGAATATTGAGGAGAAACCATCTAGCTTATGACGTAAAAGTAGTGCTTGTTGGGAGGCAACCCAAGAAAGGTTTATGTTTGTTTTTATGTTAAGTATTATTATTGTGAAATAACCTCGCATTGTGCGAGAATGTGTTTGTGCTTTAGCATTTTCTCCATGTGAAGCCTTCTTTCGTCTTTTGAAATCGGCCCACTTATGTCCCGACTTTCACTCGCCAAGCTATGCGGTAACATTGTTCTACCCCTTAATTTATGTCATTGAGGGAAATGTCGAGCTTAAGTTGGGGTAGTTTATTATTGTGCTTGTGTTCGTGATTGAACGCTTGGAGTCTAGGTGTATGCCCAAATATTTAAAATTTGAGGGCTCCAAGCACTGCATATTCATTGTTGCCGTTGTAGGAGAATCTCATGTTTATTGGCATTGAAATTGAATTGTTTACTTGTGATCGAGTGCATCCTATTATGATGTTTGAGAATTGCATTAGGATAATGCAAATGTTTAGTTCTCAGGTGTGCATAAATGAATGGATGTCTTGATTTGAGTACTCCTTGATTACAATTGCCATGCATTGAATTTTGTGAATTGGAGTAGATGATTGGGTGGCTAGGTAGCCATGTGAGTTTTGTGTCGATCGTCTCTTTCATGTGTGGTAGATCCCTCTCGCCGTGGTGTGCAACATTCACCGTTGTCACTAGTGAGTATGATGGAGGCATAAGATTAGGCCACACCCAAAAACTTGATTGTCCTGAAACATTTAATCCCCTAGTCAACCCCTTTAAGTCGTGTAACTTTGGGTGTCATTCTAATATTAGGAGCTTTGTGCTTATTGAGCTTAATGTTGATTTTGAATGTTCACGGTCGTGAACTGGGACCATGAACAGCCGTCGATCTGGGTATAAAAGGGAAAGTGAGCTGAAGGAGAAAGGATGAGCTTTTTCTAGGGTTTTAGTTTTCATAATAAAGGATCATTTCTAGTGAGAGATTAGGGTTTCCTCTTCATATTCTAGAGAGAGAAAGTGCCATTCAAAGGAGGAAGAAGGAGATTGGGCTTACCCTAAGCTAGAGGACTGAAGATTCTTACCTCTTAGGGGAGATTCAAGCAAGGAGGAAGGAAGATTGTCATCTCTTCATGGTTCTTTGATATTATCCCAATTGGATCAATCCACAATTCACAATTACTTGCCAAATAAGTCATCTCAACTCACTTGAAGAATTCTGATTTTTGGCCAAGTGTTGAAATAGTTTCAGGTAGCCTACTTTGGAAGCTTGTATCTTCCAACTGACTCAATTAAAATTGGAGATCAAGGGCTTGTTTTAAATATAAAGTTGCCATCTTTCCAATGGTATGCTTCTTCGATCCAGAAGATGTCATTAAGGTTGTTTTCCAAGGCCTCAAAGTTGCTACCTCAAAACTGGAAAACTGCCAGAAAATGGTCTGGAAACTGTCTTGTGAAGCCTACTTTGGAGCTCAATGCAAGGAGCATTGATGGGATTCAAGTCAAAAGGCTTCCACAACATGAAACTAGGTATGTTTTTGAACGAAGGGAAGGAATTGGATGAAGAATTGGAGTTCTTGAAGGCCTCGAACGAATGGCACGAAGTTAGTACAAAAATTATTTTTGGACAGTTTGCTTGTGCTTGAAGAAGGAGAGTTTGTGGCCGAGTTTTGCAATATTTTTAGAGTTTGTTTTTACCATAATTGTTTCCTAGTTCTATTAGGTTTGTATTAGGGTTTATTGTCTTTAAATAGCTTTTAATTTCACGTTGTAAAGAATCCAAGTTTTAGTTGAATGAAAATTACTCCTTTGTGAGAATTGTGTTCTTTGAGAGTTCTCAAGAATCAAATCCTTGAATTAGTTTTGTGCGGATTCCATTGCTAATTCGAGAACCCTTGTCAAGCTTTTCTGTGAGGAGTCCATAATCGTTTAACAAGCTTCTTATCAATCAAGTAAACACCTTGATTGTGGTGAAGTTCTACCTATCTGTTTTATCTTTCGTTGAAGAGTTTCGAGCTGCGTTACTTTGATTAAAGCACCCCCTGGATGTTTATCATTCTTTCTCTTCTCTTTCTTTTTTCCCTTTGTCTAGCTATGGAATAGCCTACCTATTCACTTGGGTGTTGTGAGCCCTAGCTTGAAATATGTGATAAATTGCATTAATTGAATGCTTTGTGTGTGGGTTTGTGTTTAATTCAAACTTTGAGGTATTTTCATGATGTTGAGGTTGTGTTCTTCATTTATCATATCTATGCCAATTTGACCTAGGTAGAGAGAAACCCCCTTTTTGTTATGAGGCTTTGATAAGCTGGATTCATTGGCCAATTGAGCCACCTACCTAGGGCGAATTAGGGCAAACCTCAATATTCTATTTAGCACTTTAACTTGGGTGTTATTTTGACGTCCAAGTTCTGAGGGATTAGTTCTTGAAACCCTTAGTTGATCGGTTAAGAGAGCTAGGACTCCTAGCTTATTGTTGCAATCCTTAGCCGAAAGGCTAAGAGAGCTAGACTTCCTAATTTATTGTAGCAATCTTTAATCCATTGATTGAGAGAGCTAGGGTTCCTAGCTTAGTTGTTTTCCTTATCCGATTGATTAAGAGAGTGAGGTTTTCTTCACTTGTTGTGCCCTCTTAACGGTGTATGAACACATCTTCACAAATTTGCATTCGATTTGGTCAATCTTGATATGTAGCTAGGGGAAGCAATACCCGGGTGAATTATTCTCTCATTGGGACAACCTTGATTTACTTTACGCGTTTGTTTATTTTATAGTTTTCTTAGTTTTTAAACCCCAAAATCGTTGGCTAGATAACAGTTTAAGCGATTGAAGTAGGGGTACATGGACTGGTCCGGGTTTGACAATTAAAACATACTTGCCCTATACCGCACCCAGTTAGAGTTTATACTAGGGCTCTAGTCCTGATTTAATTCGCGTTGTATTTGTGGCTAGTCAAAACCCGACGACGTGTTAAGTCACGTCTCGGCAGCGTTGTGTGCGAGCAGCAGCGGGCGATTAAGCGGAAGCTGCTGCTGGTCTTCAATGGAGTGAATTGGATCTCTATATGGGTTTATAAATATTATATTAATTGTTTTATGGAAAATTAATTATTTAATAATATTTATTATATGTTAGTCTGATGTGGAAATGAAAAATAACTATTTATTATATTTTAATTGACACGTCAGCTATTTAACGGTTAAACATCACAGCTGATTGACATGTAGGACATACTTAACGGAATTGGACGGTCAGTGACTAAAAATGAAATAAATTTTTAAAGTGAGTGAGGAATAAGAAAGAAAATTTTTTGTGATGGTAAACATGAAACATATTGATAAACCGAGTGACCAAATTTGAAATTCGTTTTTGTGTTATTTATTTGTGAATGTGAAGCGGAGTTGGATTCTAAAGGCAACATTTGCTTTGGTTGCACTTAACACGCAATAAGCCGGTGTTATGATCTGTATTTGGTCTCTCCCTGTCTGCGGTAGTGGGGGATAGCAGCCTAAGCTTGTGGCCAAATGTGGCATGCCTCTTGTTTGGGAAGAGCGCTTTTGTAGGATGCATGCTGTGGAGTGGAGGGCTGAAACTATCTCAAGCCTAAAAATTGCAGATATATATAATATATAGTTTACTGGTTTCTTAAGTTTCACACTTGCTGATGAAGAAGTGCTATACCATGAAGGACTATTGTATATTTTTTATTATTACTAAGTTTACTATACATTCGTAAAGAAACTTGTTGCGGGGATAGTACCCTAACATTCACATACAATGTATTATTTACATATAAATTATGTTATTATTTATGACAAACAAGGGTTTAGTCCAATGATAACATCATTGGTTTTGAACTAGAAAAATGCTAGTCTGTTAATACTTTTTTGTTAATATGGTGCTAACACTAGCTCCAGCTAACATGAACATTTCGTTTGGATAACTTTTCCATTTAAATGAGTTGACCCAATTAATGAAGGGAAAATGAAGGAGGGGCACGCTGGTCATTAATAAAAATTGGAGGAAGATGAGGGGGACCAACAATCCTTTATCCATTGAATGTGAGGAAGGGAGGGGGATCAACGAAATAAGTCAGAAACTCCACAAAGTAGGCCAAAACCTCTTAGCATGTCAGAACCTCAAAGTAGGTCAAAACCTCTTCATAGTAGGCCGTAAGTTTTTTAGTAGTGGACCTGTTGCAAATTTTAAAAAGCTAAAGTACCTAAATGTAAGAAATAAAAATTTCAAGTACTAACATGTAATTTTATATCGATTTTTGTAGGACTCAAATGAAACATTTTTGCTTGAAACAAAATTTTGCTTGAAACAAAATTTGTTATATATAGAACATTTTTCAAAAGGAATACCGAGTTTATTCTGCGCCGCTCACAATGTATGTAAAACGCACAAGACGAGATTTTATGTGGTTTTCCCGTTCATGAATGAACGAGACTAGTCCACGTAGAACGTGAGTTCTCGGCTGATATTTTATTTATAATTAGGTTTTTCTTCTATCATAGAGTAGCAGACGTGAGTCTTGCTCTCCTTTTATACAAACCCCAGCCGAACCCTAGCAACACTAACACAGGTTGGCTAATTACATTAAGATCCCAAACTTAATAAAACAAGTAATTCATCAAGTATAGGGATCACAACACTCCCCCTCAAGCGAAGGAATGAATATCAAGCAATCCGAGCTTGACCAGAAGATGAGAAAACTGATCAACGCTGAGACCCTTGGTCAACAAATCCGCATGCTGCTCTTGTGTAGCAATCTTGAGAGGTAGAACATCCCCTGACTACACACGCTCACGAACAAAATAGCAATCCATCTCCACATGCTTAGTGCGTTCATGGAAAACTTGATTAGCAGCAATATGCAGTGCGGCCTGGTTGTCACAGTAGAGAGGAGTTGGCTCCGAGATATGAACACCCAAGTCACGAAGAAGCCAACGAAGCCAGAGAACTTCACTCACCGTGCTAGCCATGGCACGGTATTCAGCCTCAGCAGTGGAACGTGCAACCACAGACTGTTTCTTGGTGCGCCAAGAGATGGGGGAAGCACCTAGTTTGATGAAGTAACCTGTTGTGGATCGGCGTGTAAGAGGACAACCAGCCCAATCGGCATCACAATAGGCTGTCAAAGTGAGGTCCGGAGATGCCGGAAGAAAAAGACCACGACCAGGACACGTTTTGAGGTACCGCAGAATGCGAGTAGCTATGGCAAAATGAGCCTGAGTGGGCGAATGAACCGCCTGGCTAAGTAAGTTGACCGCATAGGTGATATCCGGTCGAGTAACAGTAAGATACAACAAACGCCCAACCAGCCTGCGAAAAGAAGCAGCATCCGCAGGAGGTGATTCATCGCGACCCAAACGATGATTTTGTTCTATAGGCGTGGGACTGGGTCGAGTAGCCGCAAGACCCGACTTAGCAAGAATATCCAGGACATACTTTCTTTGATTGAGAACCAAGCCTCGAGGTGATCGAGCAACTTCAATACCAAGAAAATATTTGAGTGGTCCGAGATCTTTGATAGTGAAACGATCATGAAGAAAGTCTTTTACCTGCTCAATGAACTTCATATCATTTCCCGTAAGGATAACGTCGTCAACGTATATGAGAGCCACAACAAAAGTAGCACCCCGACGATAAGTAAACAAGGCATGATCAGCACGGCTCTGCGTGAAGTGAAGCTCCCCAAGAGCCTTCGTGAACTTCTGATACCAATTGCGCGACGCTTGACGCAACCCATAGATGGATTTCCGTAATCGACATACACGAGTCTCGCCAGGTTGAGAAAAACCTTGAGGAATCTCCATGTATACTTCCTCTTCTAAATCCCCATGTAGAAAAGCATTATTCACGTCCAGTTGATGAATAATCCATCCCCGGCTAGCTACAACAGTGAGTAAACAGCGAACAGTAACCAACTTTGCAACAGGGGCAAAAGTATCGTGAAAATCAATGCCTTCTATCTGTGTAAAACCTTTTGCGACAAGGCGAGCCTTGTAGCGTTCCACAGTGCCATCAGCATGAAATTTCACCTTAAAGACCCACTTTGAAGCAATAGCACGCTTTCCAAGTGGTAATCACACAAATCCCAAGTACCATTGGCCTCCAGATCACGGTACTCGATGAGCATGGCATCACGCCAATGCTTGTAGCGAACGGCCTGATAGTAAAAGCGAGGTTCGTCAACCCGGCTAACCGCAGCCACAAAAGCATGATGTGCTTGTGATAAGCGTCGATATGTCAGGTAGTCCTCAATGGGATATTCCATTGTAGCCTTGTGTGCAGAACCCGGAAGATCCACATCATAACCGCGAAGTCGAGTGGAGGGCTGTCTTACTCGATCTCCACGGCGGAGGACTGGTGGATTCTCGGCAGGAGCAGTAGCAGTGGCTGGTGGAGTAGAGGATGAGGACGAGGAAACGGGAGACAAAGGTGAGGATGATTCATCTGTCGAGGCAGCGGGTGACTCTGCCGAGGGTGGAACTGGAGCCAAGGGGCTGGGAGACACCTCTTCCGTCGAGGCGGGGCCAGCTGGTGAAGCGGAGGAGCCCTGCACGGTCTCGAGAGAGGCTGGAATGGGTGAGCCGCCAGCATCATCGTCCCAAATCGGCTCAAGCGAAGATAAGGGCGGTGATGGGTGATCATGGAAAGAGGAGGGAGAAGGCTCCGACGAAAGACGATAAGGAAATATGTCTTCAAGAAAATGGACATCACGCGACGTGTAAATCCTCTTATCCTCCAAATCATAGACACGATAACCTCGTTGGGTGCTAGGATACCCAACAAATATTCCCGCACGACCACGATCTGCAAACTTGTCCAAGCCCCGTCGATTATCACGAGCATATACCAGGCAGCCAAAACTTCGTAGATGGTGATAACTAGGATCTTTATCAAACATGATGTGATAGGGTGTACGATTACCAATTGTCACTAAAGGCATGCGATTTATCAAGTACGCTGCTGTAAGGACACACTCACCCCAAAACTCAAGAGGTAAATTTGCGTGAAAACGCAATGCTCGAGCAGTCTCCAAAAGATGTCTGTGCTTTCGCTCTACAACACCATTTTGTTGCGGTGTGTCAGTGCAAGAAGTCTGCAGAACAATCCCTGATTCCTCATAATAAGAACGTAAAATAGCAGTATCAAACTCCGGACCATTGTCCTCCTGGAGGCGACGAACCTCCTTACCAAACTGGGTGCGCACCATGTGAAAGAAAGCCAATAAGTGGTGTCCAACATCAAATTTATATCTCAACAAATAAACCCAAACTGCTCGACTATGATCATCAACGATTGTCAAAAAATAATGTGCACCCGAAAAAGAAGGGGTCCGATAACCACCCCAAATATCCAAATGTAGGAGTTCAAAACAAGACTGCGTCGTGATTGAGCTTGACCAAAAAGGATCACGAGCTTGCTTTGCTCAAATACATGAATGACAAGGAAAATGCTGCTGCAAGAGAGGGGTGGAAATGAACTTCTGCAAATGTCTCATTTTTGCCACGGCAGGGTGTCCCAACCTTGCATGCTAGAGAGCTGTCTTATCCACTGCTTGACGAGCTGCATGTGCCACCGGATGTTGCTCCTCAAATAGTCGAAGATAATACAGCCCATCCACATGCTTACCCATCCCAATCAGCTTCCTGGATGGTAAGTCCTGAACAATACAGAAGTCACCAAGAAAGATTAAGGCTACCGGGAGATCGGCCGTCAACCTACTAACTGAAAGCAGGTTGCACTGAAAATCTGGCACATATAACACTCTGCGTAGTAATAATCCATTAGGCAATTCCACCGAACCAATACCCTGTACAGGAACTCCTGTTCCATTTGGTATCCGAACCTGTAATGTTGGAGGAGGCTCCAACTCATTGATCAACAACGATTTATCAGTGACTATATGCTCGTTGCAACCAGAATCTTTAACCCATGAAGAAGAAGAATTAAAATACGTACCCGCCATGTTGGATACAGGATCCGAGGGGACTTGGCCATGCACTTTTACGTCCGAACTGAGAAAGGACTTAAGCTGCGCAAATTGGCTTGCTGTGAGGCCAGGAATCGGACTAGAATCGGGTTCGGCATCCACATTAGCGGCTTGAGGAGATGCACGAGGACCCCGATCTGACTTCCTCCGCGCGGACTGCTGATCGCTCTCCTTTCGAGGTGGATAGCCAATAAGCTTGTAGCAGGTGTCACGTGAGTGACCCGGCTTTTGGCAGTGGCTACAAACTGGCTTCCCATCCATGTCACGCTCCCCCTGCCGAGGATTACGATCAGTTTTGCGTTCACCCTGTGCCTGAAAGACAGCTGCATCGGCGCGCGGTCTCCTACTATTGGAGATATTGCGCTGTTGTTCTTCATTCATGACCAAGTGATAAGCTTCTCCTAAGCTAGGAGTTGGTTACGTGGCAAGAATTTGCGTTTTCACAGTACTAAAAGCATCATCAAGCCCCATCAGAAAATCAAATAAACGCTCACCTTCCTTAGCTTCTCGCTGACGACGTTTAACATCGCAGGTGCATCCACCACAAGTGCACTCAAGAGACGACACTAAGGAGCTGATTTCGTCCCATAAACCTCGTAGCTTAGTATAAAAGGAGGCTACAGTAGTCTTCTCCTGTTGCAACAAATTTATCATGCGCTTCAACTCGTACATGCGAGCAGCGCTTCCATGCCCAAATCGCGATTGCAAATCGAGCCAAATGTCACGCGATGTTTTGGCAAAACGCACGCTGCTGCGAACGTTCTTGGTCATTGCTGTCTTAAGCCAGCCCTTGACCATTGCATCACATTTCTTCCATATATCATACTCCTCTCCCCCTGAAGTCGGCGCCATGATAGTCCCATCAACAAAACCCAACTTATTTTTGGCTATAAGAGAATCCGTTATATCCCCAACCCACTCTCCATAATTCACTTCGGTGAGAAGCTCTCCAACAAACAGTTGGCTAGGATTGCCGGACTGGTGGATGGTGAACGGAGACGGACGCGCGGCCAACACGCCACTGTGAGTGGTGCCATTGCCGCCGCTGGTGGTGCTGAACGCGGAACCCGCAGGAGTCGTGTCTCCTTCGCCAGCCATGATAAATAAACAAGGTGTGAATCGATCACAGCTCTGATACCATGTAAAATTCCACGAGATCGATCAAGAAATAAAATGCACAAGACGAGATTTTACGTGGTTTCCCCGTTAATGAATGAACGAGACTAGTCCACGGAGAACGTGAGTTCTCGACTGATATTTTATTTATGATTAGGTTTTTCTTCTCTCTTAGAGTAGCAGACGTGAGTCTTGCTCTCCTTTTATACAAACCCCAGCCGAACCCTAGCAACACTAACACGGGTTGGCTAATTACATTAAGATCCCAAACTTAATAAAACAAGTAATTCATCAAGTATAGGGATCACAACAATGTACATAGCCAATAGCCATATATGGATGTCGAGTGAATAGTGAAATGAAACGAGCAAGTCAAATCTGTACTCTTGAAGAAAGAAAGAAAGAAAGAAAGAAAACCACACAACAGAAATGTTGATGAATTTATAGAATATTTATACAAAATGACACCGTTGGATTGTCCATTTATGTGTTTTCACCCGTTAGATCAATAACTTGCAAAAGAAGCACGCAGATAGCCTGCTTGTCTGTATGTGTATAAGCAATTTATAAGCATGAGCATGCAATTCCGGAGTCATAACTCATAAGCCGCCCAATATTGGAGTTGGTTCCAGGCAGGCAGACAGACAGTCCACTCGATTTTGCCACGGAACAAAACTAGAAAAGCGAGCTGGTCCCCGGCTGTTAGCTTGCCGGCGGCTGGTCGCGCGCACGTGTGCTTCTCTCCACCGCGCGCCAGGAGATGGGGAAAATAATAATAATAATAATAATATCTATTACCGATCCCCACCCCACGCGCGGCGGCCATCTCTTTGACTGATCAACTCCCCCGCGTAGACCCGATCGAGTTCGACCCGACACCCCATTTCGGGTCATCGGCGATCAGCTAGCTAGCGACTCCATTTTTCTCCACGGCCTTGTTTAGCTGTCTTGCTTTTGCTGGCCATCGTTATCAACCTCCATCAACGCAATGCAGAGATGATTACTGATGGGGACTTTTTGGAACAAAGAGTCGGCACCAACAAAATCTGTGTCCAACGTCAATCACGTATGTTTTTTTTTGTTACTGTAGTGTAGTACCTGGTAGTATAAAAGCTTTGCCTTAACTTAACAGGCTTAAAATCGTGGTGGCTTCTTGTACACTCACGAAAATTGAATATTTACTATTCACATTATGTAACATAAAACATATTAAGGGTTAATATATGTGGACTGCTGTTTGCGGGCAACACGATTACTCTTTGCCGCCAACTAATAAAGAAAAAAAAAAACAAAATGAAAAATCTGTAAAGTCATTTTTACAACAAACCTAATCAAACTAGTAGGGATTGATTTAAAGAGTAGTGTTATTATTTAGTTCAATTAGTTAATAAATAATTCATTAGTGTTTTAATGAGTAGTTAATTATTATTAAATTAGTTAATGAGTAATTATCAATAGTGTTTCAATGAGTACTTTAAATTTATTAAAAAAATATAGCTAATAGAAAATTAGTTCACATTTAAGTATGATATTGTGTAAATTTGTAAATAATTAGATATATGGATGCGGGAGGAAGTGAGTTGCCTACATTCATAGATAGAAATGTTGATGCATCAACACGAAGGAGGAGGGAGAGAAGAAGCGTGCTCGACAAATGGCACATCAGCAGAGCCAAATTTAGGAGAGGAGGCGTTAGAGGCTCCTACTGTAGTTTGTCCAACGGCATCACAGGCGATTGGTTCCCATGAGAGGAACTAAGGCTCTTCGGGGAGGGTGCTTTCAAACGAATTTGATTATCACTCGATGGAGGATGAGTCTGATGTGGATTTCCAGGTCCCTCCAGCTAAGTGAGCTAAGTGTGGACAACGGTCATCCTATACAGCTTCTTCAAGTCTGGTACTATAAATGGATAGAGGTGGACGGTTTGTAGCACCTGCTCAAGAGGAGACATAGAGCTCCACGATTGGACGAAGTAGGAGAGGGCATGACTCGAGTGATCCTCGACCGTAGGACCTTGTCAGTGAGTGTCCTAGTGGACCTAGGGATCCTAGCCTCATTATGAGCTTCCATGGCCACACCTCCTATGCGCTTTGGACGGGGATTGCAAACTGAAGGGTCATCACTTGCTAAAGCCGTACAGGCGCGGTTAACTATCTACAAGGCTATGAGTTTAGGCATGGTCATGCGGAGGAGTGGGTTCAACAGACAAATCTTCAACACCTGATGTATTGTATGTTCTGCAAGATTTCGATTGACGAGCACTACAAAAAAGATTTTTATTAGAGACGATAATTAGCGATGGCCACTGGAATTCATCAGTAAAAATGGCTATTAGGGACGACACGTTACGTTTATTACTAATATTAGCGATATGATTTCAGCTTTTGTGGAGAGGCGGCAGTCAGTCACCACCACCTTCCACATGCCTTTTGAGTGATGACGATCCTCCTCCACGAAGTTAAGTACCTACTGCAGATTCCTATAGAGGGTCAACTGATGAGCAGGAGTCGTACGAAGGGTGACTGGCAGATGTGGGCTT